GCAGGCGGCAGCCTCACTGTTCGAGGCCTACGGCCAGTTCCCCATTGCGAAAACCTTCGCAGCCACCGACTCAGTACCCGAACCGCTAGATTCACAATTGCCCGCTTACAGCGCCTCGTTTGACGCGGACCCTTTGACCAAGAGACACGCAGCCTGCGATGAGTGCAGTCCGTCCTCTGAATATGCCATGACTCCGTGCCTAGACTCACAATACCTCAGGAAAGCGCAAGTTGAAGTGCTCGGGCGAAGCCACGGGCTGCGCACGATGTATCAAGCAGGCCTTGAAGTGCCGCTACTCGGCGCAGAAGCAGATGGGCAGACCGCGCAAGAAACAGAAGACGGACGACTTCCTTCAAGACGACGAGGTCTCGGCTATAGACACGTCCCATCTGAATAGTGCCCTGCGGCCGACTCCCGTTTCTGCCCTCTATCCTCAACCTCCTCCGGCGCCGCCCGCCGTCGTCGAACTGGCAATCGACCCTGGACTCTCCGAAAAAGTTGTTGAGCGTACAAACTTTGAGAATATCTGCACAGCGCCCATTACCCAGTCCATCAAACGTGCCAGCCACGAGGCCCGAGTGGTGGCGGAAAAGGCAAACTCCTCAAACCTACACTGTCAAGGCTCCAACAGCACCTCACCGTACGACGGGCCTCGCACACCCCCGGCTACAAACGACGTTTTGCCCCAGGGTGCTTATCCGACCGATGTCTCGCTGTGGCCTGACTTCAGTGACATGACCATGCTTCCAATCTTGGTGCAAGAAAGCCATGAACACGACAGGCAGTTGTACTCTACCAACGACGCAGACCCAGACTCCTCTCTGCCCAGTGACAAAGGAGCTGAGCCGTATGCTAACCATTTCGCCAACCTCAGCACAAATCAAAGCTCGTTGACACATCTCCCCACTATTCCAGCTTGCCCCTGCCTGCCCAACCTCTATCTCACTCTGTCAACCCTCTCTACTCTGTCTGCATTTCCCGTATCCTCTGGCATGGTCGATGCGCTCCTCGCCGCGCATCGGACCGGTCGTTCTGTTATATATTGTCCCGTTTGCCCCCAGAAAATGCAATCGGGCTCTCAAAACGTATTTCTGAGCACCATGTTGATTACGGTGCTTGCGGATCATTGGCACCGTGTCAAAAAGGCTAGTGCTGAAGAGCTGAAGAGGGGGTTTAGCAGCACAGAATCAGTGCCACCGGACAACCCGTCAGAACCCTTGAGTATCCGCGAAGATCTTGAGTGGCGCACATTTGGTTATCATTTGATTCGAGCATATGTTTTCGGTGACCACGCAATTCCCGACCCGCCCGATGGCTCGTTCCATGCTTTGAGAAAACCGCAATTCATACCTACGCATATATCGTCTGAGGATAGCGATACCTCTACCGTTTACACACTCGAGTCGCTTGTGTCCGCTATCGAACGGCGTCAGAAGCAATGGCATGATGTTGAGCCCTACCACAACTCGCAGGAATTTCCCCCTCGGTTAGAACACAATCACGTACAGGCTGGCGCTCACGGTAATTGTCGGGGTTTACCACGAGGGTATGCGCCGGGGATGACGCTCGAGGACATTAAGAAGTGCGAAGACGAGCATCGTGCTGGGGGGAGTGCCGAGGATGGTTTGCTGTGTTTAAAGATTGTGAAGCATTCTAGGATTATGCTGGGCAGTTTGGAAGGAGGTATACCGAGGATCGAATGATGATGAATCGAGGATCCATCTCGGACGAAAATGCAGAACCAAGGCAAGCTGCCGCCCAGGAACGGTCTGTCGGTGGTTGGCGACGTCTCTCCGATCCTCAGCCAGCGTTGACGACAATTCCGGCTTTGGAGACAGTATCTTCAGTCAACAATGCGCAGACCGAATCTGTTAGCTCCCTCTCAGCTTCCAGGCAGCCACAAGCATTAGCACTGGTCGTTCAACTAGCACTGACACCTCTTCGCCGTTCAGCTCGCGGTCCTAGCCTTCAGAAGCAGCTGTCGGATGTGAGGTTTTCCCTTTGGAGCAAACCCAGGCATACCTTTTCACCTCGTGGCCCTGCGAGCACTTTATCTTAATATGTATCAGTTGCTGACAAAGTATTTCTCTTTCATTGGGCCTGATGTCATTGTGGAAATCCAGTCTGTCGTGGATACGCCTGTCTGAAGACGGGCTGTAAAGCATTAGCACCTACACACACCCTCTCCCTCCTGCTATTATATGGTCCTGATTCTTGCGCAGAGAGGGATCTCACAAGCAATTGAAGCTGATGTGGACCTCCACGGGTTGTTCCGGACAAGATCGGCCATCCCTTTTTGGCTTTTACCATCACCGTATCTAGCAAGCCAGGCAAGCCAGGAAAACAACCTCGGTGAAGCTCGGTTGCGGAGAATATGCGCCGAGTCAAGGTTGGCCTGGTCAGACTTCGGCCATGTCCATATTCAGTGCATATCGCTGCCAGAACAACTTTGTATATATACAGAATTTCTCTTGGAACACCTGCTACTAATACAAGCCAGGCTGTTTTGCCCCGTGGTCCCGTTTCCTTGTGTGGTGTCGTCGTGTCTATCTAGGATCGCTTCGGCAAGATGAATCCCAACCCTACAGCAAAATCTGGCGCACGCCACGAGCTCGACGACGCCTCGCTGAGCAGATATCTCGCCAACTCGAATACCATTCCAGGTTTGAAGGCGCCTGTGGTGTCGACGAAAATTGGCTACGGCCAGAGCAATCCCACCTACTTTCTCGACGATGCTGCGTACGTCTTTTCTGTTCAAGATCCACCTATCCAACAGCCTATATCTTATATTTGATTTGGTTACCATGCTGTACAGTCCTCTATGGATATGTGGGTTGTGATGATTCCAGGGGGTCTTCCTGTGCTATCTTATCCATGTGTGAACGAATGCAAGCATGGTTGTTGGTGTCGTTCTGTGGCGGTCATGGAAGCTCGGGCTGCACCGTTGATTCTCTGTTGTATTTACGTTCTTGTAACTGACATTTTCATATAGAGGCACACGCTTTATCCTGCGAAAGAAGCCATCGGGGACAATCATCAGCCCTGTTGCACACCAAGTCGACCGTGAATACCGGGTGCTGAAAGCCTTGGGCTCGGTCAAAGGGTTTCCTGTGCCGAGAGTCTATACGCTTTGCGAGGACTCGAGCGTGATTGGGACGCCATTTTATGTAAGGCTCTATCGACTTTCGTCCTTGCCTCGACGTCGGCTTTGGAGGACGAGATTATATGTGGCTGACTTGGACGATATCTAGGTTATGGAATTCGTCAAGGGCAGAATAATAACAGATCCCGACCTGGGTGAACTTTCACCCTCGGATCGAAGGAAAGCGTAAGTCGTGCTCTACCCGGCACTCTGTCCAATTCATGTGCTGTCTTCGATCCTGTGACCGCCCCCAGCTACCTTTGTAGGTGTCTCTTCTTCCAGGGCCCGACTGAAATGTAAATAGGTGGATCTCCCTCGTCGAGACTCTTGCCTGGCTGCACAGCATCGACCCGGACTCGATCGGCTTGTCCAACTTTGGCAAAAAGAAAGGCTTCTACCAACGGCATTGCAACACGTTCCAGCGGATCGAGAACCAGCAGTCCAAGGTCAAAGACATCAACACGGGCAAGGAGTTGGGCCGGGCCCACGAGCATTACGATGAGGTGGTTGATTTTGTGAGGACCAACATGACCAGTGACCGGTATTCGATTGTGCATGGAGATTACAAGTTTGACAATGTGGTAAGTTTCGACACATACTGAGAGACAGGAGGGTCCTAGGGACTTTTTTCTTCCCACTGCATAGCGACTCTACTCTCTTGCTTTGCAAATCCCAACCTCCCGATCAATCTAACCATGGGATAAACGAGTAGATCCTCCATCCCACCGAACCCCGCGTCATCGCTATTCTCGACTGGGAACTCTCAACGATCGGCCACCCGCTGATGGACGCCGTGTACGTGATCGGCCCGTTCTGGAACGAGACGGTGAAGGCCGGCGTGCCCTACTCGCCCGAGACCTCGCCGTACGCACCGGCCAACCGCGCCAAATCCGGCATGCCGGAGCCCGACGAGCTGCTGGACCGGTACTCGCGCATCACGGGCTTCGACCCGCGCAAGGAAGGGAATCCGCCCGGCAAGGACTTTGAGGTCGCAAAGATCTTCCACTGCGTGCGCGGCGGGACCATCTCGCACGGCATCCAGGCCCGCACCATCAGCGGCCAGGCCAGCAGCGACTTTTCGCACATTTACTTTGAGAATACCCGCAAGAGTCTCGACTATGCGTACCGCATGATGCAGAGGTTGAAGGAGGCGCAGGGGGCGAAGGCAAAGTTATAGTCCTTTCTCCAAGCTACAGTCGTGTCCGCATGGGGAGTTTTCCTGGTGGAAGGGACGGGAAAGGGAGAGTTGGAGAGTGTGATTTGGCCCGGAGGGACTGAAGTGGAGGATGAGGGTGGCGAAGGAGAGTCGGATTGGATGGAGATGCATTGCAAAATGCAAATGGCCCTGGATATCGATTGCGTTAGGTTTCCTGGCTGGAGCAGGGTTAGGCCAGGGTGAAATAAACCGAGAGGGCGAAGAGAGTCAGTCAGTAGGCAAAGGAAGTGAGGAGGTAAATAAGGAAGTGAGTGCATACGTGGTAGATAGCATGAGGCTCATCTACAAGGGGTGTTGTGTGACGGTGTACCAGGGAGAACATTTGGATATGTATGTTTGACCTTGATACATACATACATACTCGGTAGATACTGCATTCCTAGGTACATACCTAGTACCTAGAGTAGATCAAACTCGCTCATCTTCCAAGTTCTAGTTCCAGGCCGGGGGCATGGCATAGATACACCCATAGATACCCATCTAAACCACGCCTTCGCGCTCTCTCTTTCAATACTCTCTAATCTATACTTCTAGCTGCCTTCTCCTCCCCCCTCACTCCAATCTTTCCCAATCTTCCCCCCCCTCTCTCTCACAGTCCCTCACTCTGCCACCCTCACACTCCGAGGCAGCTTACAGCCCTACTCACAACTTGGCCCTCTGCTCTCCCCCATCGCCCTGACCCTCGGTCTTGGACGACGCCATCTCCCTCTCAATCTGCTCGGCAAAGACCCTCTTCAGGATCTTGCCGCTGGCGCTCTTGGGGATCTCGGGCACAAAGACCACGCCGCCCGTGAGGGCCTTGTAGCTGGCGAGGTGGGCGCGAATGTGCGCCTTGACTTGGTCGGCGGTCAAGGGCGGTTCTGGTGGCGAAGACGTTGTCGATGTCGAGGGCCGGACGACGACGTACGCGCGGATCAACTCGTCGGCGACACCGTGCATCGGCCCGCCAGGGCGGCGGAATCCCACCACGGCGCAGTCGACGATGCGCGGATGCATGAGCAACACGCCCTCCAGCTCCGAGGGCGAGACTTGGAAGCCCCGGACCTTGATGAGTTCCTTATCGATCCTTGTATCAGTATGACGATATCAGATCTGAAAAAAAAAAAGGTAGGTCGCGCAAAACAAACCTTCTTCCGGTCGACAATGTACCACTTCTTGGTCTTGCCGTCGCAGTACAGCACGTCGCCGGTCTTGAGGTACCCCTCGGCGTCGTACGCCTCGGCATTGGCTTTGGGGTTGTTGAAGTAGCCCCTGACGACGGTGGGGCCGCGCACGCAGAGTTCCCCGGGGACGTCGTAGGCCGTGATGTCGTTGCCCTTGTCGTCGATCAACCTGTGTGTTTGCGGGAGGGTGGGTTAGTTGGCTTCTTTCCTTCAGAGAGAGAGAGAGAGAGAGATTTCTTTCTTTTTTTGGCAGGACTAGAAATCAAACTGCGGAGGGCATGTTTTTCACGCTTTTGAGGGTGTTATCTGTTTCGCTAGGAGAATCACATCACAGCAACAACAAGAATGAAAATACGTACTTGACATCCGTGTTGGGCAGGAACCGACTCCCCACACTCCCCGTGTCGTCCGTGCCCGGGTAGTAAAAGTGCGAGATGGTGCCCGTCGTCTCGGTCATGCCAAAGACCTGGGTGAAGGTGGCGTCGGGGCTGCACAGGCGGCGAAACTTTTCCTGCGAGGCGGCGTCGAGGGGCGCGGCGCCGCACTTGACCTGGCGGAGGGAGCGGAGCGAGTAGCGGTGGCGCAGGGGGGACATGATGATGGCGATGACGAGCGGGGGCACGATGCCGATGTTGGTGATGCGGTGGCGCTCGAGAGCCGCCAGAAACCCCTCGAGCTCGAACCGCCGCATGATCCAGCACTGGTCGCCCGTGATCAGCGGGCAGGCGTGCACCAGCGGCACCGTGGCGACGTGGAACCCCGGCAGCGTGTACAGGTTGCGCACCGTCCAGGGCACGCGCGCAATGTCGTGCAGCATCGTGTGCCACGACGTGGCGTTGTAGTGCGACTGCATGGCCGTCTTGGGCAGGCCCGTCGTCCCGGACGTGTTGAGCCGCGCCACCTCGGTGCGCTGCAGCTCCTCGAGGTCCGTGATGCGCACCCAGTCCTCCTCACCCTGCGACAGGAGCCATTCCCAGCTCCGGAACCCCTCGGGGACGTCTTGCTGCGGCCGCGTGTTGAAGATGAAGATCTTGTCCCGCGTGAGACCCTCGAGCTCCGCCGCCTCCAGGACGGGACCCAGCACTTCGGGTTCCACGATGAACATCTTGACCTGCGCCATGCGGATGTGGTGGCGGATCTCATAGACTTGGTACGCCGGGTTCGTCCCACTAGGAGGGGATTGTCCCTCAGCATTGTGTCCCTGTCCCGAAAGGGGGAAAGGAAGCTTAGATGGACGTAGAATGGAGAGGACGATAGGGGCATGTCCCGTTCCAAACACATCTTCCTTCGTAGCGGAATAAGGATAACACTTACCTGAAAATACCTCCTGCTGCCACCCCACCGAGGAAGAGCATCGAGTACATGATCTTTTGATTTCGAGAAGTTCAATCAGAGCCCGAGACCTGCCAGAGGAAGATGGGATAGAGGGAACAAGAGACGACGCCTGGTTTCCCTCTGGAGCTTTGTTCTTGGAAAAAGGAAGAGAACTAATGTACGAGGGACTCACATCATTAAACGCCGCAATGCTGAAACAATCCCCCCTGTTCAGCCCAGCCTTGCGGAAGCCGGCGACGAGCTTTTTGGTGAAGGAGCGTCCTTGCCGCCATGATATGGTGCGACTGGGGTCTTCTAGATCGTGATAGACCTTTTGTTCATTTTTCTCGGGCGTCAGACTCGTTCTCAGACTCTCCCTCTTGCGTAGAGGGCTGTTGGGTTATGCTGGAGAGGGAAGGGGGGACAACCTCAATGGGTCAAGGGAAGGTGAATAGTTGATAGACAGACACAATGAAAAATATACTGACGGGTTTATCAGGATCATGGGTGCATTTGTCAAAGACGAGCGAGATCAAGTCCTTCTGAGGCAACGGGTAGTGATCCTGACTGAGCCATGGCATCTTCGCTGGATTGGACTGGTCGTGGTTCCTCGCCCTCAAGATCGTGTATATATATTGTATATATCTGTGGTGTCTGTACCGTGCCGCACTGGGGCAAGGGCAGGGGTCAAGACTTGTCTGTCTGTAAGAGCTGATGCAAGGGAAGACAGCGCAACGGCACCTGCACTGTTGGGCAGAGGACAGCCAGGTAGGTAATTAGATAGGTAGTATCACGTCGTATGTATGTCCTGTAGTCCTGTACTCCTGTGCTCCTGTGGTGCCGTAGTGCTGTAACCGAACACCCCCGGATCTCAGGCCCTGCCCAGCCCAGAGCACTACTACTCGGTCGGGTTCTCTACCCAAACCTCCGCTCGCAGCTGGGTTTGGTGGAGGGGCCATTTCTTTCCCACTGGTGCTACGGTCTGGCCGAGTCTAACTCTCTGACAGACACGCCTTCTCGTACAGCTCAATCATGTCAGAAATTCTGACACATTTGGGTCTCGTAGGGCAGAATGCCGAGGAAAATTTCGGTAAAAAAAAAAGCGAAAGTAGCAGAGTCCGTTTGAGGAGAGGGATGGGAGGAGCGACAAGTAGCGCACCAGCATTGAATTTCAGGGGCTCCGCTTTGGGGGGAGGCGTGGGAGGCTTAAGCGTGTGGGGAAGATGGGGAACGTGCCTACATGCCTCGATGCGTACGAGGTACATACATACCTATCTAGAGCAGCGAGAACGGTGAGTACAATGGACTGAGACTCTATGCTAAAGGGGAGAAAAGTGTGAAACAGGATTATCGCAGCGTTGGCAAGGTGTATTCCTGTGAGATAGGAGGTAATTCTGGCGTAAACGTATAGGGTGGATGGGAATCACGGACCAGAGTTACCCTCTGCCAACTAATGCGGTACGAGTAGTAAACCATATATTAACTAATCGTGTACCCGGCCAACTAGGACAGTCTCGCCTTCAGCACCTCAGAAGCATCCCTCAGGACGACCGCCGCCTGCGAAATCACCACCCTGTCGCCCACAACCTGTCTATACAGAATCTTCCTTCCCCCGTCCTCTCGCCACATCTCCGTCCGCACCACATCGCCGGGATACACAGGCTTGCTCAGCCTCAACTTCACGCTCTGGAACCTCTTGAAGTCGCCGCCGGCAAACGTGTCGATGATGTGCAGCACACCCATTCCCACGGTACACGTACCCGTCAGGATCGGCCCCGGAAAGCCGCCTGCTTTGGCAACGGCCGGGTCGATGTGTAGGGGGTTCAAATCTCCCGACGCGGCGCGATACAGGGCTCCTTGCTCTGGCGAGGTTTGGTATTCCACCACAGCGTCCGGCTTGCGATCTGTGGGCGTCGGGTGTGTGGCTGTGGCTGCACCGCGAGGTATGGGTTTCGTCGACGCCCCAGCCCCGGGGACTTTCATGACGAAGGATGTCCACTCGCTGTAGCAGATCTCCACGCCCGTGGCTGCGTCGACAGTAGTGATGCCCACGGCGACGGTGACACCAGTCCGTCGATCCACAATATCCACCACGCGTGCGGTAGTGTGCAGTGTCGCTTGCTTTGGAAACGTCCCCTTCATCTCGAGATAGTGCTCGCCGTGGACGTGATTATGCGCCTGGAAGTTCGGGAGGAATTCCATCATCCCGTACGTGACTTCACGCATGACTGAGATGACGGGGAGAGTGGCGAATGTCGGGACGGCCGCAAAGTCGGGATGTGCTTCAAAGCATCGCGACAAATCTGTGCCCTTGACACCCAGGGCGATGTTATAGGTAATGATGTTGTTGGGAGTGTAGCTGCTCGTCACACTCCATGAGCGTTTCTTGATAGCTTCGACGTCGATAGTCGTCGCCATGGCTGCTCAATGACCGTGACAACAAGGCTGGCTTCCGTCTGAGAACCAGACCTTTTGTACATCCAGGAACGACTGTAGTTTGAACAACGCGGTTATGTATACCCGAGAACGGTCTACCGAGGTCAGCTCGGACCGTAGCAAATAGATGGTCACACAGCTAGAACGGGGTCAATGCAGGTCGCCTGTTGCAGAATCGATGTCAAGAAAACTATGTCGTTGATTTCTTTTAGGTACTGACGAGAGAGGTCACGTTCATCCGCGTTAGAGCTCAACTCACGCAAGACAATATACCGGGAATAAACTCCACAGCTTTTTCCTCCACGCCCAGAGCGAGCCTTACCGACAAGACACTTTGTGGGGGATGCGGGGTCTTACCACAACAAGATAGCCTTGCTTCCGAGGTCCATAGCACAGAAGGCCCGTTCTCCTTGAGGGCTCAAGATCCCTCAAAGGGTAGAAAATGATGCATAGCGTGTAGGTGAAAGTGCCAGAACCATTTGTACAGTCCTCGTCGAGGTGCCGGTCGCATTTGTTTGTTTCCCCCCTCTCCTAGTTGTGTGATCGTGAACAACTCACCTCCAACATGACCGACACACCCCCAAACTACCAGACCGTCCTCTCAACCAGGCTGTCACCGGGGACACTGCTGCTGGAATACAACCAGCCCAAGATCTCCAACGCCTTCACCCTCCAGCAATACCACGACTTGGCCGACGCTCTTCGCTGGACACGCAATGTCCCCGAAATCAGGGTGATCGTCCTCACCGGCAAAGGGAAGCACTATTGCGCTGGGAAAGTGCTGCTCCCACCGGGCCAAGCAGGACCGACAATCGAGCAGGAAATCGAGGCAGGTCGCAAACTCGGGGACGAGCTACAGGGCCACCCGAAAGTGCTCATCGCTGCGGTCCACGGCGCAGCCATCGGATGGGGATGCACACAGCTGTGGAATTTCGATCTGGTCTATGCATGGGACAAGGACGCCGTGTTCCAGACACCCTTTATGAGTCTGGGTTTCGTCCCGGAAGGGGCATCGAGTTGGAGTTTCCCCAAGGTTATGGGCAAACAGCGGGCCAACGCGCTGCTGTTGGCGTCCGAGAAGCTCAATGCGCGGGAAATGTACGACGCGGGGATGGTGACCAAGGTCATTGGGGGTGACACGGTCGACGCGTTCCGAGACGAGGTCTTCAAGATTGCAAAGAGAATAGGCACCTATAGCGCAGAGAGTCTAAAAATGGCCAAGGCGCAGGTGAATCGGCCTACCGTGTTAGCAGAGCAGCGAGAGGCGGGAATGTGGGAAGCGGTGGATCTCAAAGTGAGGCTGAACAGTGATGAGGCCAAGGCGGCGATGAAGGCTTTCATGGACAAGAGCAAGCCAAAGCTGTAACCAGTCTAATGTCAATGGATGTAATAATGCAAGGAGAAGGCAGTTTTTGTGCTGTAGGTGTGTCAACAGGGGACACATGCGGGGCTGCCGGTGGTGATTTGAGACGAGCCTTGCTGACATAATTACAATACGGTGGAGTAATAGACACTCGGTCCCGCACTCCGAAGGCCTCGAAATTTAATTTTCTCAAAATTCTCAATTGCGGTGGCGGACAAGATTTGGTGCGGCCAGTATCTTTCCGCTGGTTTTACTTCCTTCCCCCTCTTTCAACAGACAAACGGAAGTACTCCAAGGACGGTCAACATGAGCAAACATAAACTCGAAGATGAGGCCGCTCAGTTGGCCAAGCAAGAACGCAAGAGGAGGAAGAGAGACCGCAAGGAAGCCCTGCGTTTACAAGATATCACACCCTCATCGACTGAGGCTACAGCCAACTCAACCCCGGTCCCAGAGGCCAAGGAGGATTCCACCGCCGATGTCAACGGTTCTACTGTCCCCAAGCCTGTATCAGCTCTTGGAAACCTCCGACAAGCTGAAGTCGATAATTTCTTAAAGACACAATCCGTGCAGATTTTCGATCCACAGAATACAAATGTACAACCTATCCTCGCCTTCTCGCAACTCCCTCAAGAGTTGGCCTCTCAATTCTCGGACGTCTTCTCCTCCTTCCAAAAGCCCTCGTCTATCCAGTCCGCCGCTTGGCCCTTCCTCCTAGCCGGTCGAGACGTGGTCGGCGTGGCAGAGACAGGCAGTGGAAAGACCCTGGCATTCGGCCTGCCTCTCGTTGTCCGTCTGACCTTGCAAGAGAAAAAGAAGGGTATCAGAGCCGTCATTGTGGCACCGACACGGGAACTTGCGATCCAAGTGTTTGAACAGTTAGACAGACTCAGCAAAACCACTCAGAAGCTCAAGGCCGCATGCATATACGGAGGGACCAACAAGGACGAGCAGCGTCGCAGCTTGAAAGGTGCAAATATCGTCGTGGCAACTCCAGGTCGACTAAAGGACTTCATGTCCGACGGCACGGTCGACGTCTCCAAGACGCGGTATCTGGTCCTCGACGAAGCAGACCGGATGCTCGACAAGGGCTTCGAAGACGACATCAAACAGATCATTTCCCAAATGCCATCCTCAACTAAGCGACAGACGGCCATGTTCACCGCCACGTGGCCGAAATCGATCCGCGAGCTGGCGGCGACGTTCATGCAACAACCCGTCAAAATCACCATCGGGCGCGAGGACACCGAT